TCCTGCGTGAAAGGCAGAAATCCTAACCACTAGACCACGTCGGATGGGTATGAAATTATGATTCATCTACAATTATACTACACTCTTTCATAGTCGAATAAATAGACTTACTTTCATTTATCAACAATGTAAAATGATGGTTATATATTTCAGCTTTCTTATTGTAGAATAAAAGCTCATGATTATATATAGTATTGCTAGACATCAATATTTCATAAATAAGTCTCTTAATATCTGACGTTTATCTATTACAATCATTAAGAAAAATAATAAGTGTAATCAATTGTTTTTTCGATCTTTTTTATGCTCAATGTATAGTTTGCGTAGAAAAAATTGATATAAATCATAAAGTATGAAACAATTTCTAAAAAAACGATGCTAGTTATTCATGTGATTTTTCTCTTATATTCTTAAGATTTTGTTTAGGTATGGAGTTCTGATGTAGACAAGCTTCTAGTTTGAAGAGAAAAATGTATTATATTCAAACTTACATATTGAGAAAAACATAGAGACAGTAGAAATAATTATTACAATGTATTTGTGTTTAAGAGCTCATAAAAACTTTATGGAAGAGATACTATATTCTTTCAATCAGAAGCATTGGGGATGTATTTGTAACGAAACTTCATGCTTTACTTGAGCTAGTTTATAGCGTTTGATATAGAAAAATATGTACAATTTGAACGAAAAATGTGCTGTTGACATATTTTTAGTTAAAATAGTCACATGTTATTTTCATTAGATTGTTAAATGTACACGGCGCAACAATACTGATGGAATATTTGATATTCGATTTAAGCATCTTTCGTCTCTTCATGCTTCATTGGGTACTATTTATAATAATATTGTAAGAGTTCTAGATAATACCTATCCACATACAGAAGCTATCGAATATACTAAACGAACAGTTGATATGATCTGTTATAGTTTAGATCGTAATCATAAATAACAAAACATTTTTCTATTTAATATATCTTTTATTATTCTTTCGATAAAATACATGTTACAAGAGAAAAAAAAATTTTCTTTTTGTATACTTATTTTTAATTTTAATATTCAAGAGCGTCAACAACATAATCTAAATGAACAAAAGCTCTTTCAATTTCAGGTATACTTTCTAATTTATTTTGTAATTCATCTCCAATATCATGTGCTTCTTTAAGTGACATAGTTTCAGGTAAAATAACTTCAACTTCAACTAAAAATGATGTACCAAAATGAAATGCACGAACAGTATCGATTTTTTGTATTAATGGTGAATGTTGCAATGTAAGCCATGTTATTTTTTGTAAAAATTCAGGTTTTGCTTTATAGCCACTTAAGTTTCGTACTTGTTCACGAAGTTGTTTTAACCAACAAAAGATTATATAAAGTGATATGAGGATTGCACCAATTGGATCGATAACAACAACTTCTTTTTTCTTTATAGAACCATCAAGTGCTTTAACAGCTAAACATATATTAAATGAAAAAGACATATTTTTATGATGTTTTTCTCTGTTTCTCTTCTTACCAAGAATACCACATGCAAGTGCAATCAGATTTGAAAAAACATCATTTCGATGATCTTGTGCAACGGCAGACATAGTTGGATTTGCTACTTGATAACAAAGAAATGATAGAACAGCTTTACATACTAAAAGATAATTCTAGTATCGTAATACAAAAAATAAATTCATACATACTAACTGTAACACACATAACAGTAATAGGTGCTGGTCCCATATCAATATCACGTAATTCTGTTGAATTGTTTGTAAAATGATGTATATCATTAACTAAAGATTCAGCTGATTCATAAATAACTTGAATAGATGCTGAAACCATAACAACTGATAAAATAACAATAATAACTGGTTCAAGTCGAGTACGACCTAAAATAAGACATTTAATATTATTTTACATTATATACAAAAAAAATTAAAAATAACTACCTCCAGGATAAGTATAAGGATCACGTTTTTTTATTGCTCTTATAACCCAGTAGAGTATACATGCTGATGCAGAATCTACTGCTGAATCTACAACTGACGAAATGATTGAAAGTGAACGAGAAAAAACAGCAGCTGCAATTTTGCTAATTAGCAATAACTATACATAAAAGTAAAATATTTATGATTCTTTTTCATTAATAAGAAATATTTACCACATTACATATTAATGTTGCTCGAATAAGCCATTCTGTATATCGTTTTTGTTTATTTAAATTTTTATCTTCATGTTTAGATTCCGAACATGTTTGTTCATAAAGTTTTTGAAATGCATCAATTAGATCATCTTGTTTTTTATAAAAACGTCGTACACGACTACTTAATTTAACATCCTCATCTTGATTTCCTGTATAATATTCATTAATATACATGTTATTTCAATTAATATATACTTACCATGTCGTTTACTGATAAGTGCTTTCAACGAATATGGTATATGATCTATAATAATAAGAAAGATAATAGTTTATATATTAAAATTAACAATAAAATTTTATACCACCATCAGTGTGTTGAAATTGAGTATTATCAAATGGTTGTTGCTCCAATTTATGAGATAGATTATTTGATTCACTATGACTTCGTCCAAGAAAAGATACTGATGGTACCGTTGATTGAAATTGATTCATAATTGCAATCGATCGACGTGATAATGGAGCGGAAGCTGGAAGCAATGAATGCTTTTGCTCTTCATTTTGATATTGTGTTGATCGTGATCGTTGATATTTTCGACCACCACGAAATCTTCCACTGCTGAGATGAATCTCATTTTCATTATAGGATTTTACACTCAAATATTGATGACCGAGAGACGCTGCTTTCATTTTTGATCAAAGTTGACTACTTATGATCATATTCACTGTATAAAGTAAATTTAAATAGTGATCGATAAACAAAAAAGAAATAAAAATTGTTCTTCAACGGATGACTGACTCAAATACGATGAAACTAAAGTTGTTTTATGTGTATAGATATATATATCAATAATGATGTTAATAAAGAATAATGTATCATACAGTTGTTTTCTTATAATACAAAAATGTACGATAATTCATATCATACTGATTAGTTGATTATACTCATTATATTTTTTATGAAACGCAAAATGTGTCGCATAAGCAAAACTCAGACACTTTGACATGTGCATGAATATTAAAAAATAAATGAAGTTTGAATTTGTCTTATTAAATTCAATTTTTATCAAATGTGAATGATCGATGAGCTTACTATTACAAAGGCAACTTCAAATGATAGAAGAACTTTGTCCTCGCTATTAATTATCAAATATTTGCAACGACTTTTTCTTTTTGACATTTATTGAAGATCATAATAAAGGAGATCAAAAACATTTCAATTTATGAAAAATAGTAATAGCCTCGATCATTCTCTCGATTAAAATTTCAATCTATGAATTATTTCTATTTTCTGTTATTACAACTAATTATTAATTTTAAATTATGAGACAAAAAAACACATTTAATAAATCATTTGTTACATGTGAGTATAATATTTAGTTTTATTCATATCTTTAAATTGAATTTTGATTGTTTAAAATTTTTGCTGTTGTTTCTCGAATAATTTCTGTGACTTTATTTCGATGTTCACTTCTAGGTAACTTTTGTTTTTGTCCATTTTTATCTATATTAACAAGCCATTTTGGATGAATAAGAATATTAAATTTAAGAAAATCATTTTCATCATCATCTTTACAACAATAACCAAGTCCAGTTGAAAATATATACATTCCATAATTATTCGATAAATATTGACATATTTGTGTATATAATCGAAATAATTCAATATTATTCATCTTTCCATTTAATTCAAAATCAGACATTGATATTGTAACTTTTGTTTCATAATTTGGCATACCAAAAATAACTAATGATTCGGGTGATGATCGTCCACCACGTCGAATATTCCAATCACGTTGTTTATGACGACCATCTTTTGTAACAAATAAATCACCTGCATAAATTCCATTTCTATAACCAAATTCAGATGCTTCAAAAGCAACCATAAGTGAATATGTTTGAAACATACGTTGCCAATAAATCGGAGAATCATTTAGATCAATTGGCGAATATGAAGTCCACTAAAACAAAAGAAGATGCTCTTTTTAGTAGAAGAATATTGATCTCATTGTTCTGCAATTAATATTTGAAAATTAGAAATGTTTTTTAGTTATTTACTTTCTATATATATATCAATGTTTACATCATTTCATAGGAAGTAGCATTCTCTCTCTTACTATGTGTCACAATTCCAACAAAAATACGACAACAATGTACAAAATCTTATTCTAACAAGCCTCTATCATTGTTTTTTTAAATCTAGACTATTTAAATATGTCCTTACTATAGTTAAAGTTTTGAATATTAGGTATATTTCTCTTTAATAGTGTATAACTAGTATTTGCATGTATCACTTAAATATAACATAATTCTCACCTGTTCAATATAGCATCCATTTTCTGTTCCACATAGATTAATTGATGTTGGAAATAGTTTTCCATCTAAAACAAGTCCACAAACAGTATAATCAGCATCAATATCTCCAGAACGTTTTTGTGGTTCTATAAATTCTTCGATAACTGCTAATGTTGGTAATCGTTCACCAACAACTTTATTTTCAATATATTCACGTAAATAATTAATACGTTTTTCTTGTATTTCTTCACAATTATAAACTATAGCATGTTCATTTGGACTCATACATGACCAACCAGCTGCACCACTTGCATCTAATTTAACAAATGCTGATACATTATATTTATGATACAATTGATCTATAGCTTGAATAACAGCTTCAGCAAAAACCTACAAGTAAGTATATATATATTTAATTTTAATTAATAAGTATCGAGAAATATTTACTTGAATATTAGATAATGTATTTTCAGTATGAATTGAATCAAAATGTTCTAAAGTTTCAATATATTGTTGATAATTATTGATTATGGTTCCATCTGGTGAGGCAGCCAATAATTTTGGCAAAGCAGTAAATGCTTGTGAACGTAAAAAGAAATTATGTTTTGCTTTATCATTCGATGGTATATTAGGCCATTTTAATCGATCAGAATAACATTGAAGTTGTTCTTGATGATATTCTGTCATTTCATAAGGAAAAACAAATGATCGATTAACACCTTCAAGAATTTTATCTATATGACGTTTAAGTACTTGAACATGATATTCAGGATGGAAATCTTTTGACGATCGTTGTGCAAAACTTTCACAAATTTCTGTATATTTTGTTAAATTTGTTTCGAAAATATTGAGCAATTCAAGTAATTGACCATTACAATCTTCATAGAGAATTTGAATTTGAATTAAACGTTGTAAACGTTCTTCAATATTCTTTTTTAATATTAAATAATTTGTTAATTCAACTGGATTTGGTGGTGAATAAACAATTACACGACCACCACAACGAAATCCAGTTGATAACCAAAGAGCAGGTAAAAGTGATCGATCACAACCACGCATACCAAGAAAAACAGAACGTTCCGATTCAGGCACAACTAAAGCAACATCATCAAGAATAATAATTTGATCACTGTCATCAAATGTTGATGCAATACGACGTGCTAATTCAACACGATAACTTAAATCAGCTGGATGTTCAACACCCCAAGCAGCTAATGCATCTGGACAAAGACCAGGTATATTAATTTCACGTGAAGTTGGTTGATTACCATGTTGTTGTGAATTTAAAACACAATCACGTATAATATCACTCACTGAATTCGACATGATACAAACTAAAATAATTAAGAAAAAAATAAATAATGAAATACAATAATGAGGTTTAAATTTATATGCTTTGCTAGTAACTTTTCTATCGTCTAAACAATACTACAATATTGTAAAACATTATTTTCTAACACAACTATTGTTATAATTATGTTCTGACAGATAGTAAGTTGTTTAGGAATGACTAGAGAGTGACATATTTTATCCAATCATATTTTTCTTATTTTGATCGCTTCGTACAAATAAACCATAAGATTGTTGTTTTACCCTAAACGACACAGCGACCTTTCATTCTCTTTTTCTTCTTCTTCTTCTACAGGCTTGTTCATGAGAACAGAGAAAAAAAATGAGTGAATGGTTTCCATCTTAGCCATCGCTTGTTTAAGTATGGAAACATACCAAAAAAAAGAGAAATAAGAGAACGACAAAGATGTATGAAGGGTTACAAATGTCGAGACTCCTCCTGCTGTTTTCGAATGAACCATGAGTGAACTGCTCTATCACAAGACGATGAAACAGGAAAATATCAGAGCGAGTATATAATTGACATTATAGGAAATAGATATCATATGTTAAATATTACTGACTAATGATATTATTTATTTATGATTTTTTTTCACTAATTTATTCTCGCATACTAATAAATATTTATTTATTGACTTGAAGCTCTCAATCAATATATGCCTTGACTATAACATCTAATGTCTTTAATCTAAATAAAATCTTTTGAAAAACACAATAATGATGAGTCTATAGATCTACAATACAATTTATTTAGATTTATTATTGTCAATCATGTTACTAAAGTCGTCATTCCACATGATTTTATAGTTCAGAGCAGCTCAAAATTTTGTATGAATCAACTAAAACGTTAGTTTTAATGCACCGAGAATAATTAGTTGAGATTATGTATTCACCTTTAATAATATGAGTATAGGTTTAAAACCGACTTAAAAACAATACTTAAACAAAGAATGTACTCATAAGATTCTGAGTGATGTCTCAGTTACACTTTCTTAAAAAACGATATCGAAAAAAGAAAATAAGGATGAATATCAGTCGATGATAACTGTAAGATCATAAACTCATGCATATATGTACATACGTCTATACTGTAAAGAAATCAAAAAAATTTATTAGCTAAAAAATATGGATTTGATCAATATAGTGAATAACAGTGATTTACTAGTTTATTATATTAATACTATCTATATCGTGATCGAATGTCATCGAGTAATTCGATAATAGATAAGTGAATATGTCGTTTATCAAATCTTCCCTGGATTTTTTATGTATATATATTGTATTTTATTGTTGCATTAAAATGAATAGAATTGTTTAGGATGCTGTTTACTACTAATGTTTTCTGTAATTGATACTTTTGATCATGATCACGAATAGCGTCTCATATATAGATAAAGATGAAAATGATTGTACATTGTTCTTTAATACCATCGATTTAATATACTTCATTGTTTTTACCATCTTTTATCCTCATTTATATGCGCAATATTTAATGTTGATTAGACAAGTGAAAACAAGCTTGTACTTTGGTTTTTATTTGATTTCACACACTTATAAATAATATAATATCGAATTCTAACGAATCGAAAAATATTTATGTATTAAAATTTTCTCTTTTTTTTATTTCTTTTCATCATACAAAACAAAACAAAGAAACAACATAACATAACATATTAATTAATTGCTGCTGCCAATAACTTTTCTCTTAAACAAGAAAGAGTGATAAGAATAGCTTCTTCTGTACGAATTGTTCGACTTCCTTGTTGTGGACATGTATTTATATAGTAATTAAATAATTTATCCGCTGTTGCATGATCTTGTTCGTGTTCAAAAGCTTTTTCAAGTCCTTGTAAACCACCAAATACAATTAAACCATGTCGAAAACGAGGAAATTCAGTAATTTCATTATATGCTATACCACGTTCAGATGTTCCGATAACAAGATCATATTTTGGTTCATGATGATAATGACTATTATTATTATTATTATCATCAAATGGACAATTTTCAATAATTGTTCGAATTGATTCAGCTTTTCGTACTTGATATCCCCAATACATGCCTAAGAATAATAAATTCAATAATTTCTATATATAACAAATAATTGAATTAAATTTTTTTACCAGATTGTAAACGAGGTGTACTTGGACTAACAATTTCACCAGTAATTCGTTTTTTCTTATTTATGTTTGGATTTTCGTCTAGAAATAATATATATATATATGATAAATAATTCTTTGTTATTTATTATGATAAATATAATTTACTTAATGTTTCTTTTGTTTGAAAATATTCTTCTTGTGTTATATCAGTTCGTTGTACCGTAACACGAAGACCTTGTTGTAAACGTTTATCAATTTGTATTTTCGTTTCATAAAGACCAACATCAACCCATGAACCTTTACCTTCAGCAGGTCTCAATGGTAATGTTACACCTTCACGATAAAACCAATATTCATTGGTACGTACATGATGTGGTGCATCCAATGGATTTAGTAATCCAGCATATTCAAGTAGTTTTTGTCGAGGAAAAAATTGTTTACGAAGATATTGTGGACTAAAAAACAAATAAATAATGAGAAGAAAATATATGTTGGTATTGATTAATATTTACCATTCAAGATATTCAAGAAGTCGAATAAGTTGTTCACTTGCACTGAATGGATTATGATCAATTTCTTGACTTGTTTCATCTTGATCATCATCATTAAAAATAATGATTTCATCAATATTAAAAACACATGCTGCTCGACCAATTTGTCCAGCTAAATAAGTTCGTAATTCATTGGATTGAGCATTTCGTAATATGGAAGCCGGTAATGCTATTGATAATGTATATGAACGACCTTTGATAGTTTGTGAAGTAGTAATTGATGATGTAGATGGTTGCTGTTCTGATAATTCTTCAGCTTGTATATTATCGAGTTGCTTTTCTAATCGAGCATTTTTCCATGCACGAAGATGGTCTTTATAACGACGCCATTCAGCTGAATTTGTTGCAGCTTTTACTGGACGTATTGGACGAGAAATATGTGCTGCATCATCGGACATGTCTAAAATTTTCAAAATATTAAAACTTAAAAAATCAGATAAGCTAAAAGGAAATTAACAAATAAATCGGTCAAAGAAAAAAAGATGATTTAAAGCAGATTAGATCAATCAAATTCCTTAATTTTATTTTTTTAAATCTGCTTGGAATTGGAGTCTAAATCTATTTTCTTATAATATTGCATAGACTTGTTTTGATTGGTTTCGATGATTTGATCAATCGAATGAATTCTACATTAGATGTCGTCGATGGAGAATCGAAAGAACGATTTATGTACAATTACACTAAAAAATGATCTTATTTCTCGGTATTAAATTCAAGATCTAAAATTTCATGTAAATGATAGAATTCTGTATTGAATAATTTATACACTTTTGATTATTTATTATCAGTCAGGATAGGAATACAATTTTATTTCGAAAAAAAAATAATTAATATATGTATTATTGTTCTGTAATATGATAGAATTAAGTAGTTGAAGAAACTTCAGTTGTATTAACAAATGCAGGATATTGTTCTAAACAAATACATATATATAGATCAAATTTTGATATAAAAAAATTGTTTTTATTCGATTCTAACTTTCATTCGTATTTGTTGTTCGTTTAATTGGCGGTAATTGTGGACTTGTTCGTCTTACATCACCATTTGTTGAATTGAA